ATATCTAAAAAATGACAAAAAGAATTAGCAATAGCAATAAAAGAAAAATAACTAACAATGAAAAAATAGAATCTCTAACAATAAAATCTTTACTACTAAACTATTTACTAGGAATAATAACTCAAAACATACCAAAAAACATGATATAAAGTAAAAAAATAATATGTAAAAATGACAAAAGGAATTAGCAACAGCAATACAAAGAAAAATAACTAACAATGAAAAAATAGAACCTCTAATAATAAAAATTTTCACTATCAAACTATTTACAAAAAATAATAATTTAAAACACACCAAAAAATACAATACAAAGCAAAAAAATAATATCTAAATTGACAAAAGAAATTAGTAACAGCAATATATAGAAAAATGACTAACAACAAAAAAAAAGAACTTTCTAATGATGAAATCTTCTTCACTAAACTATTTACTAAGAATAACATTTCGAAATATATCAAAAAACATGATGCAAAGCAAGAAATCTACTTAAATAATATCTAAAAAATGACAAAAAAAATTAGCAATAGCAATACAAAAAATAATAACCAAAAATGAAAATAAAACTTTCTATAATAAAAACTTTCACTAGCAATAGTGATATCAAATCAATGATGAAAAATAATCAAGTAACAATATCAAAAAAGGCAAAGTATAACTACACTAACAAAGTAACAATACCAAAATACAATAAGTAATCTTAATAAATTTTCTGTTAAAAAGAGTTTTGTTAATATATAGATTTTTATGTAATAAAAGAATTATATAAAATTTTTGATTAATCAAAAATTATATATTTAAAACTATTATTTTTTTGATTTTTGTTAAGAATAAACATTTTATTTATTATTTTTAGTTAAATTTGTATATAAAAAATAGTATTTTCTTAATTGCTTTATTAAACTCTTTTATAGTTAACTTTTTTCGTATTTTTTAATACTTTGTTTAAACTTGCAATTAAAGAATTAAGTTTGGTTCTTTTTAAGACAAAAAATCAAATAATAGGACAATAATTAAGTGATTTTAAATGAGTTCGAGACTAGCTTTTAATAATTAAATTATAAATACCTTGATAGAAAATCACTAAAAAAATGTTACAAAGATTTTATTTCATATACTAATTATAATATTATTTTAGTTCTTTAGCTTCAAAAATTAGAAACAGAAGACAATCCGAATACTTAAATTATTACAGTTGCTAAATGAAATAAATTTAATTAATTTGTACTTTATATTATGTAAGTATTACTATATTATGAAATTTAAAGTTAAATTAGTTCTAATACTAAAATAAATTTTAATTTAAAATTTAATTTGTATAACTAATAGATATTCATTTAATCAAAAATTTAAAAATCAAATTTTTGTTTGATTTTGTCAAACACTAACTCTTATATTATAGTCTTGTAGTCTTCTTAAAGGTGAATACAAAATATCTCTTCTATTATTCAATATATTGACTAGAATATAATATGGCTCTTCATCAATAATAACCAAAAATATTCATTTAACTTTACTACTTTCCAACTAAGTCACCAAAAATCTTTTCATATTAAGAATTTACTAAATGAACTCCCAACATTTTTTCATCTATATTAACTTTATTCTAATATTTTTACACATAATAACTATTTATTTTGTAGTAATCAAAAAGATTCCCAGTACTAGATCTTCTGCTCTAACAATTAATCTATTTATATTCTAATACTTTAAACAATTCAAGAATTTTTTATAGCAATATTACTTAATCTCTTAGCTTAGGAAATTCAATAACTATATTATAAACTAATCTTGTACTCATCTTTTTAACACCAATAACTTCTTTAAAACTACTTAACAATTAAAACTATTCTCTAAGAATTTATATCTTCTTTATTTATAGAGTTACTTGTCTCATATACTGATACTTACAAAACTGCTACCAAACTTATTACTTACTTTTTTCTCAAACTCTCTAACAATATTTATAAATAAATCTGAAAACTCTATTTTATCAGATTTGCTAAATAGAAAAAGCAAAATAACACTTCTAAACATATTTAAAAAACCTCTTTCACACAATATTCTTCATATACAAATCACTTTAAAATAGGCTATACATATTTATGCTTATATAGCTAATTTGATCAACTATATAACAACAATAGTCTATACTCTTTACTAGAATTAGCTCAACACAAAATTGAAATTTAGTCTATATTATGATAAGCCAAATATAGCTACTCATCTAATACAATTATTAATATTCAAATCTAGATGAGTTTTTAACTACTCTAGTAGGTTTAGATTGCAGATAATTTAGATAGTTTATTATTTATAGTCTGAGTTTTAATTCTAGTATATAAATTTGTAATTCTTGAAAAACCTCTTATAGAATTTCACACAAATTTTAAATAAAGATAAAAACAAAACCTCACCTTAATATTAAAAAAAAAATTTTTTTATACTTATTTATTACTATAAAATTACTAATATATATCTTAGTTATTTTATTTCTAAATCAAAGAATTTATTCTTCTTAAATTACTAAAGTTTTTTTTTTAATACAAAAATTTTATCTTATAGTTACAACTAAACTGTTTATCTATTCTATATCCTAAATAATAGTTTACTATAGCAATAGATATCAGTAAACTAATATCATTATTAGATTTATACTAAGTAGAATATATATTTTACTATTAAGTATCAAATAAGATTCAAAATAATTCACAATTATAAGAAAGACAAATAATTAATTATATATAAAGATACAAATATTCATTATAAAAATTTGTCAATTAATAATAAATTACTATCATAAATATTTGTTTACAATTATTAGTAAATTATCTAAGAGTTATTTTAACTCTTAATAAGTTTATTTAAAACTAGACTTTATTAATTTTCTCAGAATAACTGTTGATTTCTCAGAGAGATATCAGAGTTATTTATATATTTAAACTATTATAATTATTAACTATTATATCTATTAGCTATACTATATCTATTCTATCAGTTAATTATAAATGATATAATATATCTAATACATATAATTATATCTTTAATATCTAAAATAACTAATATATTTTATTAGAAACTATAGCACTTTTTAGACTTTAAGCACTTTTTAGACTTTAAGTACTTTTCAAAAACTTTCAGCACTATCAGTATTCATGTTACATATTAGTCTTCATAGTTAATTAGATTATATTGATGTGACATTAACATATGATTAAATTGTAATATCAAATGTCATATGGAAATTCTATACGACTTTCAATTATAACAGTACTGCTGCTGCACTATGATCGATGTCAAAGTATTTTTGGTGGTCGCCCTGGATGATTCGTACATAATCTCTACATTCTGAATGAAACTATCGCTAGACATTTTATAGGATCATACTAGTATTATCAATATTTGTAATATCGAGCATTCCCAATTAAAAGGGCCCATTTTTACATTTTGATAATTTCGAGTAAACCAAATGATTTATGGGCTTGGTGCTACAGAAAAAGAGAAAATTGACAAAAAAAAAATCTTAAGTAAATCAATTTTTATGTTATAAATTTTATAATAAATCATAAGAAAATAAAATTTTAAAAAGCTATTCTACAAGATTTTATTAAGACAACTGCTTTTGTGCTTTAAGTGAAAAATATCTAAATTGATAGGTTTTAAAAAATTTGTTGATTTCCTCCTTTTCAGTAGCACTAGCCCATATAGTTTTTTTTGATTTAAAATTTTAGTTTATGGATCTTTTTATTAAATAAACAGTTCTTGCAACTTATAGAAAGTCTTTTCATTGAATGTATCTATCAAAAGATTAAATAAAAGAAATTTTTTTAAAATGTATAAATAGGCCCTTTTAATCGGAAACAATCCATAAAAGACACTATTAGAAATAACAATTAATAAAAATAAAGCCAGAAAAATCATTGCTTAAAAATTTATCAATGACCAATATAAGTAGATAAAATTTTTTCGTGAATATACTGTATATGAGCAAATATTAAATAACTGACATCTCTCTAAAAGAGTTATAAAATAAATAAATAAATAAAAATTAAAAAAAAGTTAAACAATTTGTGCTTATATTAACGAAAATCATCAAAAGACCGTATATAAATGATTAAGTCAATAAATCAACCTTCTCAAGAAGTTACTTCTTTTCTCCAAATATTCTATGATAGTAAGAATAGGGGTTGCTCTTTCCGTTTTTAAATTCGATTTTAACCTCCTTAATCAAGTCATTATATTGTTTACTTGATATTCCCATATCAGAAATTAAAACTTCTTTTAAATCATTTAACACGTATAAAAAAAATTCTACACCAAATTCACCAGATTCATTATTACCCTTTCCCAGAAAAAGTTTTGCAGTTTGATGTTCTATACATTCAAATTTTTTAGTCTTTTGAATGTAATCGAATATATGAAACATGAGATCAGGATTGATATTATTTGCTTTATACCACGATAACCCTAAGGGATTACAAATAAATTAAAAAATTTGCTAAATATAACTTATATTTTGAAATTTTAATAGTAATATGATTTTGAAATATAATTCGAAATAAAGATCGAAATATAATTTTTTAGAGAGAAAATGCAAAAAACATACATCCAGAATTCCATAATGAAAAGGCGGGCCCACCATCATAAATTTGTCTACTAGCCATTGCAACCTAGATATAAATAATATAAAATATATAAGAATGTCATACAGTATTTCAATAATAAATTATTTAAGCTGCAGAGGGAAAACCTTTAAATGAATATTTATGTTATCTCTATAATAAAATTATCATACCAAATAATATTCATTTAAAGATATTTCCCTTTGCAGTACAATTTTCTTTTCTTTTCTTACCTCAAACCAACCACCAGGCTTTAATACTCGAAGAACTTCTGATAAAAACCCTTGAAATACATCATCCTTAAAAAAATTTTCATTACCTCTTGAAAAAATATAATCAAATTCTTCATCAGGAAACGGTAGCCTTTCTAAAATATTGCATTCAACATATGTAATATTTCCATTAGAATTTGGAGTAATAACAT